CCTGACATCGGCAGCACTGGCATGTACACCAATTCCCGGCTGTAGCAGCCCAGAGTTTTACATTTTCATATAGAAGCGATGCAGGCACATAGCAGGTGTCAGGATGGAGAGCAGCGGCCTATCGGCAAACATCCATAATCCTTTTTTTTTCCCCCCCCCCCACTAGAAAGAATGAACGCTGAAGCATTTAACTCTGAGCACTTCCAGGTTCAGAGCTGTCACTCTCCGGCTGCCAGTTGATCGAGTCTGTGTTCAATCAGCTTCAGCAGAGGTGACATCAGGGGTCTAATTGAGCACTCGTGTCTCCCTAAGAGAACCTATCACTTGCATTATGTTATCACATAGGGGGCTCCTCATTCCCCTTGCGCTAGCAATAAAGTAAAAATAAAGTTTAACAAATGAAGATAAACAGCCACAAGAAAATTCTAAAGTCCCCTGCCCCCACGTACACACATATACAATCATGTATGAAAAAGTAGATTTTGCTATAGGTATTTGGTATCACCGTGCACACCGGAGTAAAACCCTAGCGCCATCATTCACTGTTTACGAGCTGTAAAGGCCCATAAAGCATCCCTTGTGGACAATATTGGATATTATAGAGGACCAGCATAACCGCAAGACAACAAGCATTTTCCAAAAGAGGTGAGCAGTGGCCGTCTCCTTATGTCCAGACAGATTCTCTTTAACCCTATACAGCTGCCCAATCACTTCTTCAGTTGTCTTTTTTTTTTTCTGCTTCCTCGTGATAGAAGGAAAATTAGGTGGGAAAAAAATAAAACGCTCAAAATGGAGAAAAAAAATAGTTGCAATCTTTATTCTCTGTAGACTTGAGCCCTAATGTGAATCTCCAACTCCCCTCAAAATGAATAATGACCTACAATTCCCCATTTCTTTTAGTTAGTTCCAATTCTAAGAACCTTTACTTATAATTGAAAAGTTCTGGCAAGCTTTTGTTGCTTTAATTCCTTCTGATTCTGCAAACATATTTTCTGCGCTTGTGGCATGATGTGGGCAGGAAGGTAAACGTGCCATAGTATGCAGTGTTATTCCTGGGGCTCCTGTCAGAGGGGGGGGTGTGCGTGACTAATGGCCATCACTGTTCCTAAGAGTAATTTGCAGGAATGGCTGTTAAACACCAAACGGGAAAAAAAAACTGTTCTAAAATGTCATCGATGGGCAAGACCCGGAGGAGTACAGGAGGAAGAACCTAGAGAAAGGGCAAAGCAGCAGGTTGACAGCTGATGTCGGCTCCCACAACTACTTGTGCTTTCCTTCCCCCCCCCCCCCCCCCTCAATTATAAAATGCCATATGGAACGCACCAGTTCAACGAACACTGCGCACCAGAGGGTAATAATGCCCACAAATCAGTGGTGCACCTTTCTCTCCTTCATAGACAGTACCATAAATTGATCACGCACTGTCCCTGAGAAGTAGAAGTGCTCTCGGCTCCGGTTGAGGAACTATTCTCAGTTTGAAACATGTTGAGGAGATCGAGCAACCGTTTGGTGCTGTGTAAAAAAAAACTGGGCTGAATATTGGCCAGCGATCACGGAATAACCAGCTATTAACGTCAGAACATCTTAGCACACTGCTTATGTCTATACTGGATTCAAGTTTGAATGTTTTTAAATAAAGTTGGTTGATTTACTTTCAGCCGGACGTGATCTCTCTACTTCTCGGGTACTGTGTGTGATCAACTGTCACTTGTACTGTCACTTATGAGTGAGCGCAAGGAGTGCTGCTGATTTGTGGATAATAAAATGGGGCAGCACTCCAGTTTCCTCCAGGTACTCCAGTTTCCACCGGGTACTTCGGTCCCCTCTGGGACCTTGGATGTGAAAGCATGGACTTGTATGAATGTGCAGTATGCAAAGCCCTGCGTAGTGTTTTATATATGCCTGTAATAAAAATCTCTCCACTCCTATGTTTTCCTTCGGGAGCAAAGAGAAGAGGCTTTGTCGTAATTTGAAGCTCGCATGGGGTTGGGGAGTCTCTCCCTGCCCCCATATTTTGGCACTAAACGCCTTTAAAGGAGAACTATGGAGTCAGTGCTTTCCCCCGTAGTTCTCCTAAGGGTTACGAGACTAGCGTCCTCCCATGACCCAAAGCTCAGTATACTGCGAGCTAGAGCTTCCTATATACTGAGACCGCTGCAGCCGGAACGGATCCCGGCGTTACTGTTGAGATCCACACAGCTGCGTGATTGAAAGCTGGCTCTGCCTATCTAGAGGCAGAGCCAGCTGTACCCGCCCCTCCCCCGTCCATTCCGCCAGTCAGCGCTGGCGGAGCGGGGGAATCCCTGCAGGGAGCCGTGAGTGACAGTCACGGCTCTCTGCAGGCATAGATCGAGACGTGAGCGAGCGACGGTATGTGTTCGCTCACTTCCCAAACTATTGAGCCGACGTGTGGCAGTTTCATTGTCACACGTCGGCTCGAACTATGAGGCTAAGTGATTTTCACTCGCCTCATTGTTCTCCTTTAACAGCCAGTCGCCAAGCACCAGTGCTGTCAAGTGGTAAGAAGGGGAGCGAGTCACATGCTCCCCATTCCCGTAAGTAACGGGTATGCCGCTGGATGAAAACAGAGCAGTAGGGGATTGAAAGGAAGGGGGTGTATAAGCAGCTTTGGTGGCTGGCATTAAAGTGAACCTGTTCTGCCCTGCCCATCAAAGCACATGTTCACTTTAAACCCAAAACAGAATTATATATATATATATACACATACATACATACACCCCCCCATACTGAACCAAATATAACGTAGAGCCTAAACCGAGTCTTACGAACGTTGTTTCCACACTGCACTGATGCTCGTCACTCTATACTAGAGCCTGCTATGTGATGTTTTTAAATAATTTAAGAAGGTGAAAAGCTGCCTGTTATCTGCATTACCGTTTTGTATTTAAAACGCGGTGTTCCTGGCGACAATGACAACCAACGGTCGGCATCTGTTTACTTTTCCGTTTGCCGGTAAAAGGAGGGCTTGGTGTAAAGAAAATCGTCCCGGTACATTTCTATGGCTTTTTCATGTAGGAGAGAAGAGAATTGTTACACTACGTTGTAGGAGGAGCCACTATATTTTTATATGGACTGTATTCCCCTCGCTTTCTATCTCAAGAAATGGAATCTTAACTGCCACGTGAAGTCGTGAATTCCTCGTCACTCTACAACTCAGGTTCTACAACTTAAAGGAGAACTATGACATGAGTGATTTCCACTCACCTCATAGTTCTAAGCCGACCTGTGACAATGAGACTGTCACAGGTCGGCTCAGTAGATCGGGAGGTGAGCGAACACATACCGGCGTTCGCTCACCTCTCGATCCTGTCACGGCTCTCTGCCGTGACAGGGGGAGGGGCTGGATTCCCCTCTCCCCGCTCCGATCTGCCAGCGCTGACTGGCGGAATGGACGGGGGAGGGGGCGGTACAGCTGGCTCTGCCTCTAGATAGGCAGAGCCAGCTGTCACTCACGCAGCTGGGCGGATCCCGTCATCTACGTCGGGATCCGCTCCGGCGTCTCAGTATACCGCGAGCTGTAGCTCGCGGTATACTGAGCTTAGGGTAACGGGAGGATGCTAGTTTGTGTCCTCCCGTTACCCCAAGGAGAACTATGGGGAAAAACACTGACCCCATAGTTCTCCTTTTAATTTCAGCAGCCGGTTGCTGGAGCCCTGCAAATGGAGCTGCTTCGGATCGCTTTGCCAGTAACTGTGATGTGACGTTTGTATGTAAATGACATGAGAAGTTGCCTTTGGATCGGTAGCTGCACCAAATGAACAAACAATAAAAAAGAAATTCTCTTATTGTGTTGTGGATTTCCAGTATCTGTCAGATATTTTCAACTGCTCCTTCCCTTTCAGGAATGGCTGCGGGGTTCTCACCGCTTGTTTAAAATAATATTCAGAACTTCCATTTAGATTTGTGTTCATCATCCTCCAAATGGTTCAGAAGGTTACTTTAACACTAAACTCAGGAGTTAAATACATTCAAGTACCCTAACTATTAACAGAAATGTCCTTATTTGTGTATCACTCGGCTGTAGATCCTCCAATCATCTCTGAAATGGTGCTGACACTGTCTTTCCTACAGGAGGGGGGCTACTTGTGTTCCCCATGGTCCCTGTGTGTGTTGTAGAGTAGTCACCGCTCCAAGCTCACTCCTGTGATGGACTACAATCTCATGTTTAGTTTACTAATTTGTATTGAGATGGTCTATCATGGAAGTGAGCTTGGAGCGGTGACTACTTTACAACGCACATAGGGACCATGAGGAACAAAAGTAGCCCCCCTCCAGACACTCATAATTGAGGATATGGTATGTTGACTATATCCTCAATTATGAATGAATGGGAAGTGATCTATACCCACTCCTGTCCATTCATAATTGTGGTTATAGTAAACAAACAATATTCTCAAGTTATCAATGAACAGGAACACTCAGAGGATTCCTGTTCAATGATAACAGGGGACACAGAAAAAGAGATTGAGGACTCTGTGTTCTCAATCTCTTTTTCTATTTTAAAAGTTTAGACCCCTAATATTTCCCCGAAGCCCCTAAAAGTAAAGTAAAAAATAAAAATATTTAATAAAAAAAATATAACATTTAAAAGTTTATAAAAATTAAATATTAAAAAAAAAACAAAACATTTTCGTTATTGGTTTCGGCCTGACAATTTTTTTCTATTTAGTTGTTACATTTTTATATATCGGTGCGCACCTCTACTCGTAATGGCAGCGCTCATTGGATAGAGATGTCACCAGCATGAGAATTCCAAATCAGTGCAAATCTATTTTATTGATAGATGTCGATCAAATGACAAAAGTGCTCTTCTCATCGTTATATGAAGAACGTTCAGGAATAATAAACACTAAAGAGCAAAGTAAAACAAATGTGCAAAATAAAAGTTCAGGTTTCATGAGACCAGAAAGAACAATGAAGAAAGGGATCTGATCTTAGAGCTTACTACCTCAATATGGAATTAGGATTATTTTGCGGAATCATAAATCAAGTGACAACTCTGGCTGGGAGCTTGTCAATTGCAGGTAGATCCGTTTGGATAATTCTGGGCCGACGCGACGGGACGTAGATGTTACCCCCTCTCCACGCCGCACGAGGATATCGCTCAAGAGGCCGTGTCGCTCTGCGTTGGTCTGACAGTGACGATAGGCCTGGAAGAGAGGTATGAAAGAGTCAAGGAACACGGGAGATCACTTTACTGCAACATTCATCTATTCCAGAATGTAGGCTGGTGACATGTTTGCCGGCTGCCTGCTCAGAGCTTTGCCTTTCAGTTGATTTAAAAGAGAACGATGGCCAAACCTACTTTGGCTTTAGTTCTCTTTTGGGACACAGAAAACATTTAGTAATATCCTCCTGTGACCCAAACTCAGCATATCCAGAAAATATTGTCGGGATGCCCCCTGCTGACTGATTAACAGCTCGAGAATCATTAATACATCAGTATTGTTTATGCAAGCAGTGTAACTGAATTTGCCCTGGCATCAGCCTCTTGCATTCAGACTGGGAGAGGGAGAATTGGTACAAAGAGCCAGTCTCTTGTGCTACAATGCTCGTGGGCTGACCGGAAGCATGCTGATAGGAGAAGAGAGCTGAGTGAGAGGATGAGATAATCAGTCTACTTCTTCCACCATCCACTCATCTACTCACAGCCTGAGAGAGGGACAGCTAATAAAATATATGATACAAGTAAATCTATAAAAATGGGCCAAAGAAAACAACAATATCGTTTCCCTTTAAAGGAGAACTATGGGGTTCGGGCTTTTCCCCATATTTCTCCTTAGGGTAAAGGGAGGACACAAACTAGCGTCCTCCCATCACCCTAAGCTCAGTATACCGCGATCTACAGCTCGCCGTATACTGAGACGCCGCAGCCGGAGCGGATCCCGACAATTATGTCTGGATCCACCCAGCTGCCTGAGTGACAGCTGGCTCTGCCTATCTAGAGGCAGAACCAGCTGTACCCGCCCCATCCCCCGTCCGTTCCGCCAGTCAGCGCTGGAGGAGCGGGGAGGGGGGAATCCAGCCCCTCCCCTGTCACGGCTCTCTGCAGTGACAGGATCGAGAAGTGAGCGAGCGCCGGTATGTGTTCACTCACCTCCCGATCTACTGAACCGACCTCTGACAGTCTCATTGTCACAGGTCGGCTAGAACAATGAGGTGAGTGGAAATCACTCGCCTCATAGTTCTCCTTTAAAGAAGTATAAAGGCAACAGAAGCAAAATGACAGAATACCACAGCAGTAAAAAGTGGCATCATCACGGGACATGTGGCGGGCAGGGTCCCCTCACCTTAATCAGTAACTGCGGGGAGGGATAGGCTGCCACCACCGCACTGGCAACTTCCACACTGACTCTGTTGAACTGTTGAATCTGCCTTTTCCACACTTCCAGCAAACCTTTCCCGCATTTCTCCACACGCACCCCCCCTGCCCAGTCACCGTCCACGCAGAAGGAGAAAGAGGTGTTGTCTCGCTGCCTCCTAAAAGAAACACAAATAGGTGACAAATGTATAGTGTGGCTGCTGCAATCTATGCTGTGGTGTACATGAAATACCCTTATACTAATAAAATACATTGAGGGGAATTTATAAAAAATGGAGGAAACAGAATCTGGAGCAGTTGTCCACGGCAACCAATTAGCACCCACATTTCATTTTCAAACCTTAACTGAACAAACTGAAGAGAGAAGCTGATTGGTTGCCATGTGCAGATTTTGTCTGCTCCAATTTAGATACATAATGGGGGGAATTTATCACTTACCATGAAAGGCTTTGCAGAGCCCCCACTCCCCTGTAGGCTCCATGTCAGTCTGGCCAGAGTTTACATAGGGACTCCTCCCCCCATTTGAGGCCCCCTATGTCAATTAAGTTTACCATCACTGATCAACTGCAACCCTGAACGAGAATGCTCAGATAACGAACATTCCTGTTTCAGCGCCTGGAGTGTGGAGGGGAATAGCCAACTTACTTCAGGGGAAACAATAATGATTGGCCATTGTTTTCTAACATCCTTGGTAACTATATGTACGTACAACGCAGACACTGACAACGCAGACACTGACAACGCAGACACTGACAACGCAGACACTGACAACGCAGACACTGACAACGCAGACACTGACAGGGTTATTCAAAGAAGGGGAAGGCAGAGAAGGCAGGAGAAGTGAACAATCTAGGACAGTGATGGCTAACGTTTTTAAACCCGAGTGCCAAACTGCAACGCAGAATCGATTTATTTATCTCAAAGTGACAACACTGCAAATAAGTTTGGTATTGTGTTTTAGTTTGGGCGCTGTGGTTTAAAAAACATTCAGCATCACTACCTTAGGCAAAATAAGAAAACCTGCACATTCAAAACATTTAAACATTTTATTTTTTTCTTTATTATTTTTTATCACTTTTTACATTTGTATTGATTTATTTTTAACTTTTTTAAATTTGTATTTATTTTATTTTTTATAATTTTTATAATACGTGGGCTTTCCCATTGCGCATTCAGCCCTGCTTGCCCAAAGCAGGGCTAAATGTAAAAATAAAACTACCTGCCCAGTTCCTGGGACTGTCTGTGTTTGGGGATACAAATTCGACACCCCTGCCTAGGCTTGAGTGCCACCAGAGGAGCCTCTGCGTGCCCTCTGTGGCATGCGTGCCATAGGTTCGCCACCACTGATCTAGGACAACAAAGCTGGACTGGAAAGTGAGCTGAATTGGAGAATGTTTCCAAATCATTTATGTTGTCCTAGATTGTTCACTTCTCCGGCCTTCTCCTAACTCTTCACCCTTTTGTGAATAACTCTGTAAACGTTTGCTCCGTCCGGCCAGAAATGGCTGCACTGGGAGGATTCCAGGTAACATCCATGCAGTGTGTTTTTAGTATACTGAACCGGGCAAACACCGCACCACCAAATGACACCCCGCCACCCAAACATAACTATATCACGTGTCATTACTTGGTTGGAGCTTCCGCTAGAGCTTTGCTAAACATGCAGATGAAGTCTGAGAATTGCTTCCAGGTCTCCAGGAACCAGACATGGACATTGATTTGTAGCTGCAAGACCATCAGAGCCTGAAACACAGAGATGTGAGAAGTTAAGGAACAATTGATATCGAACCCCTTACCAGGAGTATGTATACCCCACTATGACAGAGCAGCAGATTCATAGTAAAGAGATACAATATTACGGGATTATTTGGTTCAATTATTTGTCCCCAATGTTCTTGTTATGTAAATCTTTCACCGTTCCCTTACTCTTATCCAGGGGTCTCAAACCTCCGGCCCTCCAGCTGTGGTGGAACTTCAAATCCCATGAGGCATTGCAAGATTCTCACAGCCACAGACATGACTCCCGAAGAGAGATGCATCATAGGATTTGTAGTTTCCCCACAGCTGGAGGGCCGGAGGTTTGAGACCCCTGCGTCTAATCCCCCTAAAGTGGACATAACCTTATCCTAGGCTAGGTTCACCTTTCTGACCATGTTGGATGTTACACCCATTATACCCATAGTCGGTGGGCTTAGAGCAGGGGTGAGCAACTCCGGCTCACCTGCTGTTTTGGAACTACAAGTCCCATGAGGCATTGCAAGACTGACAGTTACAGGCACGGCTCCCAGAGGCATGTAGGGGTTTGTAGTTAGCTGGAGGGCCGGAGTTGCCCACCCCGAGCTTTACAGAGAGACTAGAAGCCTAACACAGTCCAAGCTAGACTCCACCCCCTTTATCCTCTGCCTTCTGACACTGCAGTATGCTGAAACTGGTGTCACCCTCCTAAAGCTGAACTCCAGCTAAATACATATAATGGAGCTGCCAAAGGATTTGTATTTCTGTCCATCCAGTCCTAAGATTTACGAGCTTAGCCACACAGCACAGCCATGTTTTCCTAGATGGGGACCTGCAGTTAAATACCCCTTACAGGTCTTGTTCTTCCCCTAACCTGTGACTGCGCAGTGAAAGAAGAAACAGCACACTGATGCCCTCATCTCTCTGCCACTTTGCGCTCTCACCTTTCAGCTTGCTTTTGCACCGCTAACTGGCTCCCTGTGCTGCTTCCCCAGTCTAAGCTCTGCTGTACTTGGAGTGCAAGCGGCTGATAGCAGGTACTTGCACTGCTTGCATCCCAATATACATTCAATGACGGATTAATGAATATCAATGTATCTGATGCTTTCAGCTATGAAGCTGCTTAGGACAGTCCGGTTGGCACTCTCTGGTAAAACATTTAATGTCCCTCGATGAGAATACTTTCCATAGTCAGCGGGCAGAAATCACAGAAACCATCTCACCTCCTCCACATCCACTTTGCTAAGTTTCGGTGGTTCTGGAAGATCTTTTTGTTTGCGTTTCCTTCCTCCTCGGGCGCCATCCTGCGGCATCTTTTTACCTTTTGTCTTCTGATCTCTGTCAGTACAAAGCAAACGTGAGATTTTCTTGTAGCTTTAGAGATGATCCATTATTGTATTTATCACCGGGGGATGGGGGGGGGGGGCACCCACCTGAAATACTTCTCAACATCCATGATCACCAGTGAGGGGACCACACCTGACTTGCTCGCCATGATGTGAGACACAAAGCCTCTTAAGGAACCCGCGCTCTGGTTCAAGTGTGCGTCCTGTATGGGAAGAAAGGCGACGTAAGATTCCACACCAGGAGCTGAGAAAGGATTTACAGGTTTTAGGAACTCCCCAGTCCTGTGGTGTTCACTAATGTCACATGACCGGGGTGTTGTATTACAGAGATCACTAATGTCACATAACCGGGATCTGCACTCCAGTGGCGTCACTAAGGGGGGTGCGGCCCGCACCCGGGTGACACAATTGGAGGGGTCATTTTGGTGTCACCCCCCTCTGAAAAGTTGGGCGCTCGGTCATTACCGAACGCCCGACAGTATCAGGAGAGAGGAGCGGACCCGGCGGCATACCTTAAACCCGCCGGGTGACTGTCCCCTCCTCTCTCTGCCGGCGTCCATCACCAAGATGGCCGTCGGCAGGTATCAGAATACTGCCGCATGTGCGCGATGACGTCGTCACGCGCATGCGCAGTGACGTCTCGGCGGGGTGACACTCGGTTACCGCTCCGGGTGTCACCCAGCCTCGGGACGCCCCTGCTGCACTCCTAATATTTTGGTACTTTTTAGAACATCTAACTGCAATGACAGAGAAGTGGAAGGCGTCGAGCTTTGGACAACACAAACCTAACAAGCACTTTGTTAAGAATGTGAATTACTGTCAAAGAGAAGTATTAGAGGCGCACCAAAACGACATTTTTAAAACTGAAAATAAAAGAAATGTCAGGCTGAAATCGGAAAAAAAAACAATTTCTAAACTTTTCACAAAAAAAAACGCAGAGTCCTCAGAGACGCAGAGTCCTCAGAGACGCAGAGTCCTCAGAGACGCAGAGTCCTCAGAGACACAGAGTCCTCAATCTCTTTCTGCAGCCCCTGTTATCCATGAACAGGAATCCTCTATACTGAGTGTTCCTGATCATTCATAACATGAGAACAGAGTATGTTTACTATATCCACAATCATGAATGGACAGGAGGTGCTGTAGATCACTTCCCATTCATTCATAATTGGGGATACAGAAACAATACTATGTCCTCAATTATTTACAAGCACTCAGCGATCACTGAGTGTTTGTACCGCTCTCCATCCTGACAGCTGTCAGAGGAGGCTGAACAAGCGGTGAGGAGAGCTCCATCTCCTCTGACAGCTGACTCCTCCCCCGAACCAGCCTCCTGTGACAGCTGACTCCGCCCCCACACCGCTTTCCTGATCTGTCACAGGAGGCTGAGCGGGGCGCACCGCTCGGCCTCCTGTGACAGTTTCTCTCCTCCCCGCTGGACGTTGCGTCAGGACACAGAGCAGCGCCCAGCAGGGAGGAGCGTAACCAGGGATGCTCCACAATTTCGGCTGAAAGATAGGACTTTCGGCATTTTGCCAAAGTGCCATTTCCGGCCAATATGTTTCGGCGGCCGAAGTTTCGGTGCATCCCTAATAAGTATACATTAAAATAAGGTGCACTTATCCTTTTCACCCCCTTCCCTTGACCTGACCTAACCCACCCTCCACATGCAGCTCTTCTGTTTGTTTACACCTAGGACTGTCCTGGCCATGCCTGCGCATTACAGCCCCAAAGCCTTCTATGAGACCATCCATGACCCTCTCTGGCTTTAGGACGCAGCCCCAGAGAAGTCTATGTGGCTAAGCCGATGCTCCTCAATAACAAGATAATCAATTTAAAGTAGAGTTTATTTCGATGTCTCTCAGCAGGCTTAGAGTCTCATTGGCATCACGCAGGAAGAACTTAAAGAACTATGGGGTCAGTGTTTTTCCCCATAGTTCTCCTTGGGGTAACGGGAGGACACAAACTAGCATCCTCCCGTTACCCTAAGCTCAGTATACCGCAAGCTACAGCTCCAGGTATACTGAGACGCCGCAGCCGGAGGGGATCCCGACATCGACGTCGAGATCCGCCCAGCTGCGTGAGTGACAGCTGGCTCTGCCTATCTAGAGGCAGAGCCAGCTGTACCCGCCCCCTCCCCCGTCCGTTCCGCCAGTCAGCGCTGGCAGATCGGAGCGGGGAGGGGGGAATCCAGCCCCTCCCCTGTCACGGCAGAGAGCTGTGACAGGATCGAGAGGTGAGCGAACCCGGTATGTTTTCTCTCACCTCCCGATCTACTGAGCCGACCTGTGACAGTCTCATTGTCACACGTCGGCTCTGACTAGGAGCGGAGATCACTCGCCTCATAGTTCTCCTCTAATGAGACCCTGATGGCATAATGGAAATAAAATTCTCTACCATTCTACTGTTTTGAACCATCGCAATAAAGGATTCTCCCGGGACGAGGACCAACACCTCCGCCTCTTCTTGGCAGAAGGCTTCTCCCTGCAGGAAAGGAGGAGAACATGTTGTTATAGCTGCTCCATGTGCAAAAATGACTGGTAATCCTGCAAGTAACCCGGTGCTGTCCTGTGTTATCAGGAGGTGTGTTAGAACTACAGAACACCTCCCATCTGTATTGAGATGAGGGAAGGGGAGTGTTCACAAGCTTCAGATTCCACAGAGTGCCTGCACACATCTGTAGCCGAG